CAATATATACAAATATCAAATCATTATGTTGTACATCTGAAACTAATAAAATGTTATATATCTATTATATTATAATTGAACATTTTTAATTAAAATTTTTAGAAATATTTTTAAAAACAGGCTTTGCCTGTGGGTAGTCTTCTTTGTAGATATATGAAAACTACCCAGAGGACAGTGAAAGGACAAGCCAAATGTGCTGTTCTTCTGTAGAACAAAAATCTGATTTCTCATGTGAACCCACTGCCCGATTTCCTTGAGACTGTTCCTAATTTTTATTAGTCCCTGAATTAAAAGATCCATTGCTAGTTCTTTACACAACAGACAACGCCACAGTAGTCAAGGACAGAACAAGAGGGAATGAATGACCTTTCTCAGAAAGAGGAGGAGTGAAGGTGAGAAAGAACTCCCTGACTGTGAATGACCTGTGAGACACCATGAATGACCCATGCTACCCTGCCAAGGGTACTAGGTCAAGGCAGAGTCACCTTCACTAGGGGTTCTATCCATATGCCAGAAAATGAGAGCCTGTTGATACCCATATCCTTGAAAAAGATGCTTTGGCTCACACCTCTTTACTTCATCAGCGGCAAACTGCCTCTGCTTGAGTTGCATGAGAAATTCATGAGTCTATTACTGCATTTCAGGTTTTGTTGGTGATTTCAGGGACATAACCAGATTTCCTTGGCTGGTTGCCTTAACCAGATTCATTTATGTAATGCTAACTGTTCCTTAGAGAAAGTTCCATAAATAGCAAAGAAGGAAACTACTGGATTCCAGTGAGTCAGCTAGCCTGCACTGCTTCAAAGAGAAAGGAAGCCGCTCCAAGGTACATCGCTGCTGTCACTTGGAGAAGCTCTGGAGGGCAGCCCCTGAGAGCTGAAAGCCAGAGAAGCAGGGAGGCTTCCAGGGGAGGCAGGCACAGGGTGTCATTTCACTCTAGAAAGGTTCACTGAGGAAGAGTTTCCTGAATCGCCTACTCCAATTTATTCTCAGCATTTAGTGTTCCTGGTCAAGTCAGCAAGCAGATGAGAGGCTGGAAAAAGCCACGGTCAGAGTTAGGGCACAGAAAGAAGCTCCGTCTCTTGAATGTGCAATTTGTCTTTAGGATAGACAAGACTATTCTCCCTCAGGGCAGAAGTGGAGAATACCACCAGATCTGCTACAGGTGCATCCTGCATCACATTAGCCCTTGGCCCAGATAGGGAGCTGGGAGTGTGGAGTCTCTGCAACCACCCTCCTCCAACTCCCCACCCCAAGATTTTGCCATTATCACCAGCCAGCACTGTGCCAGCTGGAATCCCACCCACCTAGCAGGTCCCCCCATGGTACATAGGCAACCTTCCAGTGAAAAACACTGGTGTTCCTTCTCTTCAAAGCAACAGAATTTAGGGTCTATTTGAACTCCTGATGCGGTAAAAATAAGACAGAGCACAGGCAATGAAAATCTGCAAAACCACCAAGTATTCCTCCTCCACCAGTTGTTTCTGATTTGGGGGCACATTTAACACTGCTGTGTCTCTGCCAGTGGAAAGACTCAGATGTCCCCTAGCAGTTCATTGCATGAGAACTTTGGCTGTTGGCTTTTTGCTTCTCATGAAGCAGTACTCACAGAGGCTTCCTTTTTAAGGCAGGTTAAGACTGCACACGTAGTCACCAAGAGCATGCTCCTCAGATAAATTCAGAAGATGGAAGTCGCAGTGTGGCACACACTTAACCAAGACAGAAAATGACATTGGGGCACCCAAGGATTTGGCCCTTGGGAAAAATAAGACATTTTAACTACTAAGTAGTGTCCTTCCTGGAAGCAGCCTCCAGGACTACCTTTTCTAACGAGCCTCATGACATATTTTCTCTCTTATTTAGCCAAACTCAAATGATTGGTTTGTCTCTCTAACAGCCACCCAACTGTGACACATCTCAGGCACAACAGGGCCTTCTGAGGCTGCTCCTTACCCCATCCTGAAGGTGTGACTCTTCATTTATACGGACACTCCTGTTATGTGCCAGGCACTGGGCAGGGCATGTGCTGAGAAGGCTCTCCCTTGTGGAGCACAGGGTCTTGCAGAGATCGTTAACCAGAGCAGGACAGGGCAGTAATACCAGAGTCAGAAGGGCTGGATTGGGAGTCTAGGGGACACTGGAGCACAGAGCAGCAAGCCCTGGTGAGAGGATCATGCCCCAGGAGAAACCAGCTCAGCTCACAACTTTTCTTGCCATATTCAGCTAAGTCTCCCATGCACATAAAATCTGGAGCTGCTTAAAAAATGTCATTGTCATGCCTTGTGGACTATGAACCTTAGAAGAACAATACCTTACCCAGTTACAACCTGTACTAAAAGCATTCGCATCATGGTCTTTAATTCAGATCATCAGAAATCTTAATTGCTGCTTCTTCTCCTTTAGCCTCTTAAGCCACCCCTAGCAGAACAACTTGGAAACCCCAATATGCTGTACGGAGCCTGAAGAGCAGGAACAGGATCAGCAGATCATGGGGACAAACACATATCTACATACCCCACACACAGAATATACAGACTGGGGATTAAGAGAGGATCAGGAAGGCTGGATAGAGAATCCACAGAAAATTCTGAATACCTGAATCAATGATCAAGAGGAAATACATGCAAGCAACTGAAAGTATGGCTTATTTGTCCCGAATCTTTAAAAGTGAAAGGCCACTATGGTATCTTCTAAATGTTCTTCCTCCCACTAGGCTAGCCCTTTCTCCCCCACAAGACCATGCCCCTCCCCATTAATCCTTCTTCTTCAATCCATTGCCCCAAATCTGGCCATGCCACCGTCTTGCTTTCAAGGCTTCAGGTTTTGAAGTGACAGTCCTTCTACTTGCATGTGACTCGGGGTTCATGGTAATGAGACTCCTCTCACTTCTCAGGACTCACCTCCTATTTATGCCTCCAGCCTCTGCTCAGGATGCTTCTGTGCCTGAATGCCCTTCCACACTGCACCTGCTGCCTGCCAGCTGGCAAACACCTCTTCCACTTCCAAGATTTCATCTAAGCATGACTTTCCAAGGCCATCTTTTTCTACCTTTTCCCCAGGCTGCCTCACACCTCTATAAACTCAATCATTCCTTCCTTTGTGCCCCAACATGTGCCATATATTGCTATTCACTTTATCATCATGGCTCACTTTGTTACACTTAAATTTTGTGTTCTTAATCGTTGGGAATTAAGACCACATCTTATTCAGAATTATCTGTGCCTGTGCCCGACCCTCTGGACCTTTATCACATCAAAGAGCACATAGAAAATGATAATGATAACATTTATGTGGGTGCAAGAGGCTGCTAATGAAAGAGATTAGTATCTCTGCACACCTTTAATAGCCCATTCAAAACTTAAACACGCTAGTTGAGAAGCTCTGCATAAAAGACCCGCAGTTAATATTGGTTGAAAGAATGAGTCAATCATTCTGTTTACAGGATTAAGAGATATCTGGAATTAGAAAAATAAAGATCTTAGAAATCAACGAAAGGAATGGTCATATAGAAAAAACATAACTAAGACTGAATATGACTCCAGCAGAAGGATAATAAGTATGTGGATTTCTTAAGCACTAGACTCCTTTCCAAACTGCTTTTCATGCACTTGGACTCTAATGAAGCCAAACTGCTTGCTGCCTCCTGCAAGTCCCTCGCTCACAGGTCAGGCCCTGTGTTGGCCTCTCTCTCCAACCAGGCCACCTATAAGAACAGCTGCCCCTCTCGAATGCTCACCCATAAGGCCACCTCCACCAAGACTCTTGTGCCCCCACTCGGTGGGCGTGGTCTGTCCCTCAGCCCTAGTATTGTACCTGTCATCATATTCTCTTGTCTGAGTTATTTCTTTTTGTCTTCTTTTGATGAAATATGTTTCATATGGTTAACGACTGAGTCCTTCTCATTGTCGTTTCCTCGCCTTTACCTGTAACAAGTATTCAATAAACGTACATTGAACTGAATTACCCAAGTGGCTGTGGGAAAACCAGGTTCCTGCTGCCTCAGGAGTGAGGGGTTT